GTGAAATATATTTATGTTTGTGGTTGTAATGTGACAAAATATGGAAAAGTTCAAGGGGTATGAATACTTTTGCAAACCACTGTATCAGCACCGATGTGATGAGACAGCAACTCGCTGAGCTTGGGACAAAAAAATAAAAAAGTCCCTCAGCTCGCTGGAGTGGCGAAACTAAACCGCCTCTAAATCATTTGGTGAATTAACAATCTGCTGTGCGCAACGTTCGCTTGCTCTTTAGTAAATAAAGCAAAGCTATTTTATTTATTTTATCTTTATTTCAAACGTCAACAGACTGGAAAAAGAACAAAGACGCTCCTCCCATTGCGCGTCTTCCGACGGGTTCAGTGTGAACGCACAGCTGTTGACAAGCAGCCAGACGCACGCGGCAGGAGGGTTTTTGCTGCTCAAAACGCGTTTGGTGGGAACCCAGCTTTAGGTCTTCACTCAGGTTCTTCTTTTTGTTTTGAGTAATAGTGAATCGAATAAATGCTGTTAAAAATCACTGTATTTGTCAGCAAAGAGAAAAAGTACCAGCCGCAGTAAATCATAATCACTAACACAAAGCTAGTTCTTGTTAAAACAATCAAGCCAACTTCAAGAACTGGAGATTTTTGTTCCCTCCTTGATGAGAAGAAGGTATGTGTTATAAGAGACACGTGACGGCACAGCCCTGAAGGAAAAGCTTTACCAGCAACTCAGCCAAGTCCAGTGCCTTGTCCTTCTGTCCCAGCTTGGTGCAGCATCGAGCCATTCCTTCCAGAACATCTCTCCTGATGCTCAGGTTGTTGTCAGAGATCCACTGTAGGCAGCTGCTGTACGCCTCCAAAGCTCCCTAAGCCACAAACACAACATCAAACAAGTGGTCAACTGAAAGTGGCAGAAATAAAAACTAAAAGGAGCAAACAGCATGAGATAGAAGTAGTCCATCACTTCATTTGGATCTAGACTCAAATAACTGTTTATATTGGTGGTGCTGTATGTTTAATGTCTGCGGGTCCGTTTGTGTTGGTTTCAAAAACTTGTAGCTAAATCTATTTTTAGTTATCAATAGTGTGCTATAAATGCTGCTCATCTTTTGATCTTAAACCCAAATTTCTTCAGTGAACAACAAAAGCAAAAGAATTTGGCTTCTTGTTCCAATACGTTTGGAGGGAATGATAAAACAGCCCTTTACACTACAGTCACACACTGACGGTGCTGAGCTACACTGTAGCCACAGCTGCCCTGGGGCTCACTGACAGAGATGGGGCTGCCATGCACCGGTACCACTATCAGTAGGCAAGGCCGGTGAAGTGTCTTGCCCAAGGATACGACGACTGAGAGCTGGAATGAGGGATCGAACCGGCAACCCTCCGGTAACAGGTCACAGCCGCCCACACTGAACTCTAAGTGATTTTCCTTCTTGCCTTTGTTTTGAACTAAAGGCAGCACAAGCGTGCGCAGTAGCTCTGCACATGGATCCTGCTTTCTGTCTGTTGACCAATAGGAGAGGAGCTGACCCAAGAAGGACCGCCCACCTTATTTACATGATGAGGCAGAGATGCATTAGGTGAAGTAAAACCAGGAGACTAAGAAATGTAAAAACGACACAAAATTACAACAATTTGGTTGGCCTTGTGCTGTTTAAAGCACTTTATAAATAAAAGTGGTATGATGTGGTAACACATGGAAATAAGGAAACTTGTGGAAAAAAATAAAAGACAAAATTCATGTACAAGTAAAGGGAAAAACATGAACCGAACAAACTTGAATAAAAATGATAACGGTCAATAAAATAAAAGGTTAGGTCAAGTTCTCTTTTTTTTAATAGTTGGTCCATTTAAGTGTATTTATTTATTTATTGGTCCATTTATACATGGTTTTTAACTGAATTATGCCAGTTTCAGTCCTCCACATCATTTACCTGATAGTTCCCTCGTCTCAGTGCCAAGTCACCTCTGAACTTTAACACTTTCTGTTTCTCCAAAGCATCATCAGTGTCTGAAGAAGAGCTCTCACAAAACCACTGCAAGAACAGAAAGTTTAGTTTTAAAACATGGAGCAGCCCAGCWATTGTATCCATTCTCTTTGAACACAGAACCAGGAAAATCAACAGTTAAATGCAGCCCAGCAGGTAAACGACCAGTGAGAAATGAAGATAAAATATTTTCAATAGAAATAAAACATCAAGTTTGTCTCGGTCTCTCTATGCCAGTATAAAAAAAAACATATAGGTGCATCTGAACACAGTCATCTGTCATCAGTTTAATTTATTATAAAATAAATCTGTTTCATTCTGTTACTGTCACATAATTAAAACTARCATTAATGAACAGTTACATGAACAGGTTGGTGTTTGAGCGAAACTAAAGAAACGCTGTGAAAATATTCAGATGTCCCTGTTTCCGAGGATCATCACCTCTGCTTCACACAGCTTGGCGGTGAAAGACGACAGAGACTCACAAACTCGCTCCCTGGGCTCCGAAAATACAGAGTCATCAAATGTGCTTCCAAATATCTCCATTCGGAACAGTTTTTCAAAAAGGAAATTCTGGTCCGTCACTCAAACCATCACGTCAAGAAACAGAAGCTTCTGGAAAGACAGGTTCCGCCATAACATCATCATGTCACAAACATCATATATGTAGAAGTCCTACGAACACACCGCCTCTGAATGAGTCCCTCCTGCTACTGAGGAAGCTGTTTGCTTGGGAAATGTTATTTTTTTTTATTTTTTATTTTTTTACTTTTGCGTTACCTCGCAATAATTTTTGCGTTTCCTTGCAAATAGTTTATTTAATTACTGTTGTGCCTGTGGGTTTATTAACAAATTCAAATGCTCACCGTAATACGGGTCGGGAGTTAGCATACTACTTTAATTCCGCTTTGGATTGTATCACAGTCTCGCATAACTATGCCGAGACTTTAAAAAAGTGATGCCGAGACGATCTGCGCAGCCACAAAATATCACCGTCAGTTTCCCGAACTYGTGGCGAGACGTCTTGTTTTGGTAACCGGATATTTCAAAATAAAAGTTTGATTYAAATCAGTTCATACAATAATCCCCACATGTCCCCTCCTGGGCTCCGTAATTATGCAACTGAATGAATGAATGAATGAATGAATGAATGAATGAATGAATGAATGAATGAATGAATGAATGAATGAATGAATGAATGAATGCACATACATACATACATACATACATACATACATACATACATACATACATACATACATACATACATACATACNTACATACATACATACATACATACATACATACATACATACATACATACATACATACATACATACATACATACATACATACATACACTCACTCAATCACTCTGTCACTCTGACATCTGTTGTCCTGTTTTCAAACTCTACATTGTGCAGAAACCATACGGACCACACCCAAGCCCAAAGCTGTAAAGACTCTAACTATATTACCCAAACTACTGCCTTATCTCTATTTATACACCATTTTCTGGTGTTATTTTTCTCTTGTCATCCGCTGGCATTATTTTATTTTCCCCTGTTCTGTACTTTGTAATTCAAGGTCAAAAAGCACATTTAGATATTTATGATAAATCTCATGTAGCACCTTAAATTAAAGTTTAACACAAATCAGATTAGAGCAGATACATGTGGTCTGTAAGGAGTATAAGTAAAAAAAAAAAAGTAGGCAAAATCTATTTACTTAAGTAGAGGTAGCCAAAATTTCTAAAATACAGTAACAAATATGTATTTGTACTTAGTTACTTTACAACTCTGCACACATGTGATAAGTTATTACTACGAAATAGTCTATTACCTGAGAGAATTATTATTTAGTAGTTGTTTATATTCATATTTTTGTGTATAATGGGTTTGAGCTAGTTAAATTTGACTTTGAAAGGCTGAACCGGATGTTTCTTTAATAAACCTGAAGCTAGCTCTGAGGTTAGCCACGTCATGTAAACTTAGCAGTAAAGCAGCTGACTGATAGGCAGTGAAGCTCGTAGTTTTAGGAAGATTTGAATTATTTGCGAGGAGAGGTTTTTATTTCCAAATTTTAAGTTGGCTTTAGGCTTATGGAAAGATGTCGGACATCGGGGACTGGTTCCGAAGCATCCCTTTAATCACCCGGTACTGGTTCTCGGCTTCGATTGCTCTCCCTTTGATTGGAAGACTAGGACTGATTGATGCCAGAAACCTCGTGCTGTTTTCGGAGCTGGTGTTTACCAGATTTCAGGTAAGTCTCTCCACTTCCGTCTTCACCTGTGCATGTGTGTGTTGTCGAAAGTTGTTAAGTTTTCTTTCTTTTGGATATATTCGGTTCGCTGCTTGGCAGATGGCTAACAGAGCTAGCAGAGCTAACAGGCCCTGACTCCTAGCAGCCAATCAGAGGACGAGACGTAGGATGTTTGGACTTCCGGAAACTGTCAAAATGCGCAGAGTATCTAATACTGAATACTGTCATTATCAGAATAAAACATAATGTGTCAACCAACAGAGAACATTTAAAACTCTGATTTACCCTTTAGTAAGAACAGGAACAATTATGCTTCACACTGCTCTAAACCTCCAGGTTCTGTGACACACAGAACCCACCTGCTGAGCTCAAGGAGAGGCTGCAGGGTGGGTAATCCTGGTCCTCTACATGGTTTAATTGTTTCTCTGCTCCAACTCACATCACTTGAATGAATGGGTGATTATCAGGCTTTCTGCAGAACCTGAAGAGGTAATCCAGGGACTGGAGCAGGTGTGTTGGAGCAGGGAAGAAAGTAAAACATGCAGGGCTGTGGCCCTTGAGGACCAGGATGGCCCATGATCCTGCTACAGTGTGTGCAGATGTACCAGACACAAGCATTCATCTGTCCCTCTGTCTTATTAAAGCTGTCAATGAACAAGTGAAATCTCTCAMTTCTGACTGCTAAACATGGCCACAACTACATTATCACTCCACACACACACACTATGTGTAGGTTTATTTATATTTATGTTTGTTCTGTGCTGCAGTTGCATCTTACATTGTTTCTACGAGAGGCGATCCTGTGATAGATTTGGATATTGTTAAGATATTTTAGAACAAGATCTGAGTGGTGAGAAATCAGATGTTTTTTCTGATTTCTCCTTTTTGCATTTAGAACAATTATATGTTATATAATATTTATGTCTTTACGACAAGAATATACTAACTAAAAATTATGTGTCCTCATTTACTTTAATCTCACATCTTCAACCACACAACCGACACACCTGCTGTCAATCAACTTGGGTATTAGGGGTGTAAGAAAATATCGATACACTGAAATATCACGATATTTCATTTACCGATACTGTATCGATATTCTAACGCCCTGTATCGATTTTTTATTAAGGTTTCAAATGTCAACTTTCCTGCCAGCTGTTCATTTTTATGTTGTAGTTCAGCCTCTGACCACTAGTTGGCAGCGTGAGCCAGCCACATGGCTCCTCTACCTCTTGAGGTCATTGTTAAGTGTTGGGTGACCATATTGTAAATTAATATTAAAAACTTAAAGCTGCAAAAATTTATTTTCAAACTATTTATTGTCAAATTTAGTCTAATAATTGAAAACATAGATGAAATAAGAAATATGAAACAAAATAAAATACATACAAAGCAGAACACAGCTAAATGTATCAAAAGCATGTCTGTAATATTAGAATTTTCTGAGACAATGAATTTTCGTTTTTCATAGTAAGAGGTTTTTATTTAATAGAATTTTTGGACAAAAAAATAGCAATATATCGCCTTGTTTACAGTATCGCAATATATCGGGATATATCGTATCGTGACCTCTMTGTCATGATATGTATCRTATCGCCAAATTCTTGCCAATACACAGCMCTATTGGGTATCCAATCAGGTTCCAGGGGAGGCAAGTGCCGCCCCCTCTTGCTGTGCATCAGTTGTGTCTCCCTGCTGTCTACATGTAAACTGGGGCCCACGTGTGTAATTTATGATGCAGTTCATCATGTAAACTGGAGCTTTTGTGCACGTTGCATCAGCCTGTGATCTTTCAAAGCAACAGTATTCTCAACAGGACAAAGTGTATGCAGTAACATATCAACCCCTTTTGACCTGTTTCATGACCGTCAAGAATCTGTGTTACTCACTTACCCACTGTCAGCTGAGGGGAGAGACAGAACATGAGTTGGAGATAACAGCGCCTGCAGAGGAGCAAGGAACGACAGAGAGGTGGAGAACTTATGTCCAGCAGCAGAGTGGGTTGGGAGATCGTGATTAAAAAAAAAAAAAAACGCCCTAAACGTCTGTATACCTGTGAAATGGAGGAAAATCGATGTGATACAGACAATCTGTACATCTTGACATGTACAGATTGTCCGCACAATATTCAATTTACAAACATGAATATGATTGTTTCGGTATGTTTTTTATCGTAATAAAAATTGCTGAATGGCTTAGTGTTTTACTAATTTTATAAATCTGCATATTTTACACCCACAAGAAATTAATTTATCATAAAATGGATATTTAAACTTGATTTTTGTTTTTCAACTATGATGTTATTTTATCTTTGTTACCAATGACTATATACAAATTTTTTAACAGCATTTATCAGGAAAAAGTAAGTACTGTAATAAGAGAAAAAAACACACAGTATGTAACTCGATGTACAAATGTCCTCATGGACTGCAGCTGACACTAAGTACAACACAATTTGAAAACAGTTGGGACGTTATGTAAACTGTTAATAAAACAGAAAGAAATACTTTTAAAATCTCACAAACCTGTATTTATTTAACAGTGAAACCAAGTTAACCCATCAAATGTTTTAACTAACATTTTAACTATCATTTTAAATATGATGGCAACAACAGGTGATGAAATATAATCAATTGGAAGGAGCATTTTACTAATTAGGTTAATAAGCAACAGGTTTTTAAAATAACTGAGGCTGAATCTCTGAGAAGTAAAAATGGGGAGGGGGTTCATCAGTCTGTTATTGTGTTTGTTTTCAGATCTGGAGACCAGTGACCGCCACCTTTTATTTCCCCATCTACCAGAGCACTGGATTTTTGTACTTGATTAACCTTTATCTCCTCTATCATTACTCCACTCGGTTAGAGACAGGTGAGAACACGGCACGCCTGGTTTAAATGTCATTATGTAAACAAAAATCTGGTATCACGTATGAATCGTTCTCAATATTCTCTGTTTTCGTTCTTCAGGAGCATTTGATGGCAGACCTGCAGATTATGTTTTCATGCTTCTCTTCAACTGGATCTGCATTGTTGTATCCTTTGACCCACATCCTGAAATACAACCTCTGCAGAAACGGTAGAATCCCCCAATCTAAAGGTTCACACACTGATGGTGGTAAGCTACATTGTAGCCACAGCTGCTCTGGCTGCCACCAGTAGGCAAGGCGGGTGAAGTGTCTTGCCCAAGGACACAACAAATGGAATGGTGGATCGTACCAGCAACCCACCGGTGACAAGACGACTCCCCTAATCACTCCACTACATCTGACCAAAGAAAMGTTAAAGTCAGTTAAAAAGAAAAATAAAACTGTAGTCAGTGCTCCCACCTTAGAGAGCTGTTGGACAAAGRGACTGACGCGGACCATGGCTCCAAAATAAGACGTATCAGTAGAAACAAAAGAGGATCATGAAACTTCTTCAAGACGTTTAATCATCACAAATTTTTTAAAAGATGTTGGTGGTTGCCAGTGTATTTACAGTCTGAACCAAATGAGCAGGTTGGAAGCTGCTGTTAGACCAAGCAAGACATCGAAGTGTCAAGATAGAAAACTAAAATCAAAACAGAAAAATGCAAAACAAAATAAGAGAAGCAGGTAGGTGGAAATCAGAGTCGATGTTTGTAACCAAACTGGAAAAAAAATCAATTAAAAAATGGAATTTACATACAGAGAAATCAGATGACCCTTCATCAACACCCAATCAGAAAGTTGTGAAGATGACTGCCTAAAAAATAACTGATTTTCCACAAAAACAGTTCAGTAAGTTCTCCGGACAGTTTCGTCTTTAACGAAACATTTCGTCTCTCCTCCAAGAGACATCTTCATTCTGAAGAGTTTCAACTGAACTCAGCCTAATAAGCACTGCCTCCACATGGTGGACAAACAGGTTTAATGATGACAATCAAACTGTTTGTTCACATGGAAAAGAGGATCCTCAGCCTAACAATGAATCGTTAGTGCCCTGATCATCCCTATACCTGAAACTCCTCAAACTGAAGAACTGAAGATATAATTTATATATTTGTCAGTGGTTGGAGTTTAGAAAAATGGCAGTTTTGTGGCATGTTTTAAATACAAAATTAAAAGACTGAAAGAACATTCTCCTGGAGTGSTGAGTCCATATTTTTGCAAGGGTTGTATAACGTGTTAAACCTTAAATTATCAACTGTGTATTTATGTAAAAGTGTTTTTTGGTACCTTCGTTCCATCTCTAAGGTAAAAAATTTGATCCCCCTGCATTTCACTACCCCCCTCTCTCTGCAGCAGGGTGTAATGTTAGTGGCTCTGCACCAGTGGACCAGTGTGGGTCTACCCCTGCAGAGCGCAGAAACCTAATCTAGGTCACATGCAGCACAAGTACAGTCCARCCCACTCCTCAGCTCTGTGCTCACCGTAGCTATAGGAGGTTTGGCAGATATTTCTTGTTCTAAAGATAAAACTATATTTTTGATCTTTTAGTTTTTATCACCTTAGGTTAAATTACAGGAACGGGTAACGCTTCCTTTTAAAGCTGAATGGTGAATTGAACTGGTAACCTTCCCATGAGCAGACGCTCCAGATTCAGGCTTGTTGTCCTTGACTCTGTGTTTGTAGATAACTGGACTGCTGATGGACATGCAGGTGAGAACCTCTTCTGCTCTCACCKTTTTATCCCAAAACATGAATTATGACAGCTGCACTGTGTACAATTTAGGAAGTCCTMTTGTGAAGACGAGTTGGAACAAGTTAAAGATTTTAAACGGTTGTCCTAAGTAAACTAAATGTAACCAGCTTCACTGTGTTGAATTATTTCAGCTGCTGATGATCCCAATGATCATGTCAGCTTTGTACGTCTGGGCTCAGTTCAACAAAGACGTGATTGTGTCTTTCTGGTTTGGGACACGTTTTAAGGTACGGACATTAAAATGGTGTCTTTTTGTGTACTTCAGTTACAATTGCACCAAAGTGCCAACGTTGAATAAACGATGTGAATTAATGATGTGAATTAACGATGTGAACTGTGGTATTGGATAAGTGTGAAGTTGTTTTGCTGCTCTGTTTTAGGCACATTATCTACCTTGGGTCATCCTGGCTTTCAACTTCATCATCGGAGGCTCGTAAGTATGGCTCACTGTACATCTGATGAATCTGTAACAGGAGCGTGGTGTAACGCTGTTCCTGTGAACTTTGACCCTCTTTGTTCCTGTGTAGTTTTGTCAACGAGCTGACTGGAAACTTGGTGGGCCACCTCTACTTCTTCCTCATGTTCAAATACCCCAGGGACCTGGGGGGACGCTCCTTCCTCTCCACACCAGAGTTCTTGTAAGTTTTACATGAACAGAGAAATCCCCTATAGATGGTAGTCTTTGGGTTTCATTTTTGTTTAATTACAAGTAGCTAATATGTATAAAAATATCTTTTGACTGAATGATTGACAGGSTTCTCCTAAACCCRATGACATTCTCAGTAGGTAATTGAATTATTTGAATCAGGTGTGTYGAAGCAGGCAAACAGCTAAAACRTGCAGGACAGTGGGTCGGACCTCTAATCTACGTGTTATTTGTGACAGACTATTTACTGATAGATAAATGAATGACGGCATTTTCATAGGTCCTAAAATTCTAAATAAATGCAACTCCAATCTCATCATCATCATCATCATCATCACACATCTTGTCAAAGAAGCCAGTGTTAAATTAAAACTGGTGAGTTGTTGGTAAACAGGATTTTTTTTGTCAATGCACCTACAGAGTCACAGCACAACAACAAACTGTCTGTAATGTTATTTCTTTTACAAAACACCATTATAATTACTATCAATAATAATTAGGTGCCAGAGTTGGTCCAGTTTTACCTTTGCAAAAAAAAAAATATATATATATATGTATATATATATATACATACATACATACAT